GGCTTTATGTTTCTTAAGTTAAACTACATGCATTTATGAAAGTTCTTATACAGTTTCAAACGATTTCATCCACTAGTTTTATTGTTGGAATGAAATATAGCAAGATTTGCATTGGCTACTCAGAAAGTTAATAGCCAGTGGTCATCGGGTTAAATTTTTGTTTTCTTCTTTTTTTTTTTAGGAAGTCCAGTCAGGCTTTGTCCTTTGTGATGCAGACAATCCATGTACAGTTGGAAAAGTTTTTGATGCTCAGGTGTGTAACTTTATTAGCATTCAAAGTGCTATCATTTCGTTTAGAACATTATTGAATATGTACTTTAAGATTTTTTAATTACAGATTTTCTCGTAAACCTTTTTCTTTCAGAGTGTTGACTATCCAACATGCAAAGCAATTTTGATTTTAAGACTAAAAATACTTTAATGCATTAGAACATTTTCAAATTTCACATGTGAAATCTTTATAATCTACAGATAATTATCAAATTTTTTGTTTAAAAAACTATTTTATTTGTTATTTTCACTAGTGTATTTCTATATGGGTTGATTCGATATGACCAACTTTGTGACCTCAATAAAAAAATATAAATGATGCTTTTTTTCTTCTAGAACAACAAATTATAATATGTAAACACAAAATTTTAGTCTTAATTAGCTTAAATCTTATAACGTTATACATTTATACGTATATTTATTATTGTTACTATATTAACCGTCCAACTGTGCCTGGCTAACAACATAGAAGTTACAATGATGCGGAGCATGTGCACGTGTGTTACTGTATCCAATAATATATAATTGACCTTTAGTCTTTACAAAGTGACCTGTCTTGGCTGTGTTTTAGTGAACTGGTATTTTGTAAAATACAGTCACATTTCAACTATTATGCATTATATATGAATATACTTTATTTCTATTTACAAATAAACTCTAAAACTTATTTTTCTTAAAACATATAGCAGTAAATAAAGTATAGCAAACAGTTACCTCTTCTAGTCACGACCTTTGTACTTGTTTGCCGCTTGTCTTAGGTAGGTAAGCCTTATGAAATTTCCCACGTGGAAGATGTAGAAAGAGTTTTTTTTTTAGGTTTATATATATATATTTTAATTAACCAAAAAATTCATAAATTACTATATCGATGCTATAGAATTCCACCATAATTTAACAAGTGTAGTAACTAAGCTGTATTTGGTTCTAAAAAAATATGAAATTTTGAGCTCTCTAAAGACTTACCTCATTGTTTGAATTTTTGTGTGGAAAGAATCAAATTGGCACAATAACACATCAAAATGGCTGAGAAAACCACTAGGGGATATTCTGAGCTTTTCATTTGTTATTCATATTATATATAGAAGTAATTGTATATAAGGGTATAAAATGGAAAGAGGTGGGTGGGGGACCACTGTGTTTGATTCAGTACAGGAGCAATTTCTTAGGAAATAGAAAAGATAAGACATTCTTATTTTATATTCTAGCTTGTCAATATCAGTAATTTGAGTTCCTGATTTGTACGAAACTATAGACTTGGTATTTTGACATCACAAACATCTAATTTGAACCAGTGCTGCATTCAACATACCACATGACACACAAAAATCGATGTTTGGCTGTGTTTTTTTAATATTTACTTTTAAATTAAGAAATTAATTAATGTATAATACCAAAATTTTAATTATAATCTACAATTTGATACCAAACTTATTGACATAGATTCATAAAATAATAGTTCAATAAAATTTTGAATGCAAGTCAACAAACGTGTTGACATGGCTTTTGACACATGACCTATCGAGATAGGGTTAATACATTTTCAAGTTTAAAATAAAAGAAAATACAATGGATGCAAATTTTACCAAAATACAAACTCAACTAGTCACTTCTATTATTCCAAGTCAGCTGCATTATATACACCTGGAAAAAAGTTAAGCACCCCCAAATATTTTTCAGGATTGCTTATTGAAAATAAGGTTTAATTTTCATGATGTTGAGCAATGTTCATAATTTCAAACATAATTA